AGGGTAATTTATTCATCATGCCCCTTCCAACTTTTGTTTCCCTTTAAGCTGCCAACAAAAGTACCATTTAATGCAAAATGCTATTTAAAAAAAAAAAAAAAAAAAAATCTGTTCCTTGGAAAATTAAAACAGGAAGATTATACACAGTGACTTAAAATTGTGACTGTCTAGACAGGATATATAATATCTTGTACCATTTTGAAACACTGCAGAAAAGTAGAAGTTAAGCTACAGCAATGCAGCTGTAAGAAGAAAGATGAGAAAGTAAGAAAAGGATGAATAACAGTCAAAACTATCACTGCTTTATGTCTGTGCATACAGCCATTTGAGATATATAACAGGTGATGCAATTTAACTAGTACTAACAAACAAGAAATCTTGAAGCACTGCATCCCTTTTTCAGGGAGAAAATTAAAACAAGAGATGAGGTACAGACACGAAATTGTGTCAGTTCTAGAACTTCTATTATTCACTCCGGGTGCCTGAATACTAATGTGCACGTCCTCCACTCACAGCCTTTTCCACAAAAATGACAATTAAATTATCTGAAGGAAAATACCACCAATAGTGCATTTAACACAATCAAGTAAGCAAATTCTCAGAGACAACTTGGCTTAGAGGTCACCTCAGAATCAGAAGTATTTAGAAAGAATATCAGTTATTTGCATTCTGTGGGAAAAACAAGTTGCCTTTCCTCGTCTTCTTAACGTACACATAACCATTACTTGATGTAATACCAGTCCTAGTGAGAAGCAGAGTGATGCTAAAGTCTTCACGGTTTGAGGATGAAACTTGTTTGTAACTGAGCTCCTATGACTAAGTCATCCCATAACACATAAATACAGAAGTGTCTCAATGGAGATGACAGTTAATCAAGAAAATTTTCAAGGTGAAACCAGTTCTAAGCATTCCAAAATACAGTATAATATTCAATTCTGTAGTCATTTCAGTAAACTAAATATTCCCCTGGGCTTGTAAGTTTCGTCATTAGGACTAACCAATAAGATAGTTTTAAATAGATTACATGTTATACAGCTCCTCCCCAAATCAACTAAATCAGGTGGATGTATAACAGTAGATTAAATCCTATATTTCCTTTGCTCCTATTACAAAATTTGAGATCTGTATTGAGGGTAGATGACTTCAGCACTCAGAGCCACCTTTAGTTCCATAGGAAGTGAATCCAACAAGCATGTTATTTACCCAAAACAATGACACTACACTGCTAATAGTTTTCTATACTCTTATTATCCTGACATTCTTCAGAATCCTATGCATTGAACAGAAAAGCAAATTGCCAAGCATTCCAGTATTTCAGAGTTTAACAAAAAAAACTCTAATCCTTTGAAAGTTTATGGCACAGACATCAAACTATGAAATTTGCCAGATGCTGCAAAAGTCAACAAAGATGCATCAAACATAACCTAAACACAGGTTCAGGAATCCAGGAAAGCTCCTTCAGCAGAAATTTGACTGTCTGGAAATTTGCACTATTGCTGACCCACCCACAAAGTCTGCAATCTGTAAGACTAGATATGGATCTAGAAAAAGTTAAAACCAGTAAAGGTAAATTCTACTCAATAATTCACCTGCTTTCCAGCATCACTGCTCAGCTGTATGAGAATTATTTGCAGATGCAAACAATTAAGAGAACAGCAATCCTCTATGCAATTGTATCTAGAATACAGATCCTCTTGGGAAAAAAAGTTTTTTCGCTCATTTTTCCCCCACTTGCCAGGGCACCTTTCCTTCTCTCCCCTCACCCCCCAACTAGAATCTAATTTTTAAAACTACACATGGCATTTTGCTTCATTTTGAAGTTGACGTGCAGGCACCACAAGTTTTCCATCGCCTCCTAAGCTCTATGTTTGCCTGCAGAGCAGGCCACTCCACTGAGATCTGCTGATCCATTTGACATAAGTTGGTTTGTTTAGCAATAGGGATTAGTACATTAGTTAAAGAATTAATATTAGTTTAGCAAAAGGAATCTACAAGTGATAGTTCTAAAACTTTCAAGTTCAACTTTAGTGGATGAATAGACTTGTTTTCCCTCAATAATTTCACACTAGGGACATAATAAGAATACTTCTATCCTTCGTCTCAATTTTGCTTCAGAAGGAGCACAAGTCATAATAGAATAGTTTTCTATTTGTAGCCTCTTTCTCTGTCTGGCTCCACAGAAGGCCATGGATATGTAGCCTGGCACATGCCATAAACTCACTAAATTTTATTATAATCTTGAAAAGACAAAGCAGCATTTCCCAACTGCACAACACCTTGTAACCACCCAACAGCAAATTAACCCATTTTGTTCTGTGATGTCACAAAAAGAAATACAGCTCTATGATTGCTGAGTCCTTAGTGTCTTGCTGAGAAAAAAATACCACTTTCTTCCAATGGTATAAAGGCACAGGGTAGCACAAGGTAATCACTGTGAACACTGGTAGCTCATAGTCATAAAATAAAATTCTGGCTTGTAAGAGGCAAGACAAGATTACCAGAGAACAGTGGCATTCTGAGATCTCAGAGAACTGTCACCTTTTCTGGGCAATTCCTGACCTCAGCATGCTGTTTGGCATTTACCTAAGCATGCTGTACAATCTTAGAGCTTAAACTCTAAGTGCTTTATTGATATAAGCATATGTGGCTTAATCGACAAAAAAATACAACCTAACAGACAAAAATGGGGAAATGGAGTGCCTGCATACTTCAGGAAACAATTCAGTACATTGCTTGAAATAAGGATTAAGCATACAACTCGCATTTTGAACAATGCCTACCTTACTGAGATCATCCCTAGACACTTCCAAAGATGTAATATAAAATTATTTTTATGCAATTAATAATCCAAAGTAATTTTTGTATTCAGCAACGGCAGAAAGCCTCTGCTAGCTTCCGATAGAAAGCACCTGACTAGAATGAATAATGACTGCGGATGATCATTAAGAAAGCAGGATGTGACATGTTTCCAAAAGGAAGCTTCAGAGACCTGATAACATGTCAAATGTAATAAACTAAATTGCCTGAAACAAATCACTAACTTCATCTTTTCACATCATTACATCCATTTCCCCACAGCATATCCTAACATAGACTATGAGACAAATCTACATGATATGAAACTGTATTAGTTTTAAGAGTACCAAAGCAGGTACAGTGCAACAAGCATTGCATCAGATCTAACATTTTCTCTTACTATATAAAGCTCATGGACAATTAATTGAGGCTCATTTTTATTTAGTTTTTATCAGTTGCATGTGCTTGCTTAGGAAAATCCCAGTAACAAGAAATGGTATTCCACTGTACTTTCTGTCTCTGCTACACTACTAATCTTGAGTTTATATTATGAATCAAACAGGAAATCAAAGGGGAAGCACTTCCAGAAGCAGGATGTATTTCAGCTCATTGAAAATACCAACTTCGAACAGGGAAACCTAGCTCTGCAAAGCCTGAGACCACTTTTAAGCACCAGAGTTTATCATTCCTGCGGTCAGTCCTCCAAGCCAGAGTCCATACACTAGGGAAGGTGTAGGAAACATCAAGAAAAGCAAATGACCTATTTCCAAGCAGTAATGGTAGTACAGTGATAGAACTGTGGGCTTCAGCCTTCCCTTCCAGTTTTCCCAGATTACTGAAAGTTTTGCTTCTCATTCACACTTGTTTCACCATTATATTTCTATGTTAGTAAAATCACAGTGAGCAGAAAATAAAGTAAGAAAGGAGGGCAGAAAAATTGATTTAGCAGTTACATAGCCAGTACTATGAAGGCAAAGCTGCTTAGAAATTTTTAGCTGAATGTATCACTAAGAACACCTTTATTTATTTATTTACATCAAATGTAGATTTGATTTTTAACTCAAAAATTAGGGAAGGAGTACAGAACAGCCAGAAAACAGTCGTATAATAATCATCTCAGAAGTGAGAAATTCAGCGTTAAATCCCAGTTCTGTCTTACTGAGGCCAGAAATTGAGATATTTTCTGTATCCTAGACACATTCTCTAATCAAAAAGCCTATATTCTCTGTTAAAAAAAAAATATTAACTATGGTTTTTGTTTGTAGAGAAATTACTAATAATAAGTACTGACATTTTTATAATAGATCCTTTCAATTAGCCAGCCTTCTGGAAGATGCTACCAAATAACTGTAGTACCACCTATAACAGTTATTATACAGAATCACTTCATGCAACCATTGCTTTCCCATCAACCTACACTCTTCTGAACAATTTTACAGACTATCACATTTGACAGCAAAAATCATAAAAAAATTATAATTTCCTAAATCACTGGTAAGCAATTATGACAAAGGAAATATGGCTGGATGTGCTTTGAAGTTTGTGCATAAATGTAGTAAGAAAGCTCAAGAACTTAATTAATAGCATATTTACGGGTAGCACTTCCCAATGCGAGTCCTTGCATACTTACATGCCCATCTGGCAGGCAAGGCAGTGGCTGATTAGAAATCAGATACTGATCTAGCTTTCTCAAGGTTATCTTTCAAATTAAGATCAGTATTTAAAACAGATTCCCCAGTAACTCACACAAAAGCTAGCAATACTTCATCTAACCTCAGAGGAAGACTGCAGCAGAAAAGATTTCAAGCACAATATCTACATGTTCCATTCATCATATTATCCCTGTCTACAGTTTACTTCCCAATACTGAACAGTACAACACGTATTACCTCGAAGTCATCTGTGACCCACTAGTGCAGAAATACAAACACTTCATCTGCATTCTCAACAACACTGCAAACTATGACCAAATGAGTTAGCATCTGGTTGGTATATTTGAATTAGGTACGTAAAAAATATAGCATACTACGAATATAGTATCCAATTTCAGATGTGATGTCACTTAAGGAAAACATGATGAAGATTGTTGATTTTTACTTCTTTCGGTCAATCAGTGAACAACAAAAGATTTAACTTTCCAGAAAAGGCAAGCAGTCATTAAATGTACTCATTCAAGAATTTCTCTTCGATCTAAAGTGAAATACCTTTTGCAACATGCTGGCCATTTAAACGTCAATTCTTCATGTCCCATTCAGTTACTTACCTAAAAAAATAAAAAAAAACAAAAAAAAACAAAAAAAGGAAAAATACATTAATTTTCCATAGTCTAAAAGCTATTATGAATCCAAACTTCACTGTCCACTCTCCCCCAGCAGATGCTCAGTAGTTATAAATTAGGTAAGACAATTATGGTAATGGGGTTTGCTTATATTATTGGTTTAGATGACATGTTTTCATTTCTGTTTCAGCTAAGCATTCATTAATCGAATTCAAGAAGTTTCTTTCCTTATTATTCCTTCTTTCCTCCCCGGTAAATGATCTTAAATAAAAGCTTATTGAGGCCCTCGATAATTTGCTTTCTCTGTTTCATTTACTCTGAGAAAAAAAGTGGTGATTGTAGCTGCAGTAATTGAAATCTAAAATATTCAGCATTAGTACCCCATCATCACCTTTGATACAGCAACAGACATTCATGAAACCTCCTAAAAAACCACTGGCAAAAAAACACGACTTGGATTTGAACAGAGAACAGAGCAGACCACGAGACTCTAGTTGACAGACTGCTATGAATTCAGGACATCAATCTCTTCCAGGTCCATGTTTTAACTCTGGATTTCTTTCACAGTTCTGTCATTATTCTCTCATGCAACTTTGAGCCACTTCATCTGTTTCCTTTTGCAATGGTAAAGTGTTTCCTCATACAGCTCTTCAAAGCTTTGGGGATTAAAAAAAAGAATGCATACAACAATTGGAACTACCACCTGTCTGAGCAACTAATTACTAATCACAGAATTGCAGGGACTGGAAGGGACCTGCAGTTATTTCAAGGGACTGGAATTTGTCCAAGTGGTAAAATAAGTAAATCCATTTTGTAGTTCCGTTGTTCGTTGTACTGAACAGGAGCAGTTTTGGTTAACTTGTGCAGTACAGCAGTTCTAGAAATTGTTTCTAATTAAAGCATAGAACAGACCTTTTGAATGGTACTTGACAACACTAGCAAGCAATAAATAGCAACAACAGAAGAGATGGGCTGATCTGTGCACGTTATTTGCCAAGCAGAATTCCTCCTCCAACACTGCAAACCAACTCACTATTTTGAAAAGTCATACAATCAGGTGTGAAATAAAGGCACTTAATTTTTTTTTTTTCCATTATGTTTTTATTTGCTTCCTTGCTTTTTACAAGGGTCACACCTTTCAGGATTTTTCTTAAGTAATGTAGAGGTATCTAACAATCAAAACTTGAAAAAGTCCAATAAGCATGTATTTGTGAGAGAACTGTGATGGTTTTATGAATTACGAGGCAAAATCCCAGCAAAGAAAGGACTTGTGGCAACACTAGGTGTGTGTTGTATCCAGAAAACACTGTGTGTCTAAGCCCCCAGACAAGTAGCAGAACTAGACCCAGCAGCCCAGAATGTGAAAGATGAGGCCACAATTGTCTTCCATAGAAACATGGTTTCCTATATTTGCTTTCAACTATCTCTGCAGAACAAGCAGGTGCAAGTGCAGAACTCAAGAGAACCCACTCCCCAGGAGCACGTGCCCAGTACTGAGCAGCCAGGTGAGAAATGCCTGCAGGAAAGCATTGCCTTTTCCCAGATGCATGCAATGTCGTCTGTTTCTCCCTATAATCCACACGCGAAGGCTGGGCTGCAATCACAAGTATCCATGGCTAGATATTTCAAATGAATCTCAGTTCATATTTTTCCCATCCTTACACGTCACCCATTGTTCTTATACCCATCATCTCTACAGGCACTCATTCTGAAAAGACAGTATTTCATACTGCATCCATACTATCATTTTTGACGTATGTTGGCTTTTCAGATATTTTGTTAGCCAGTACAGTAATCTGAGAATGATAAACGTATGCAAATCTTGTAACAACTAAATAGCTTTCATATTCAATTACAAACTTCTGAGCCTCAGTAACTCATACTCCATCCTTTCCAGTGTTATGCTCACCCAAGCTCTCCAAAACAAGTCAGATGGAGCTCATTCTTCCACGTAATGTGCTCACACTGAACAGAGTGTACAGGCTCAACACCAACTCTGCCTGTCTCCAGCTAACTATTTTAGAGAGGATTTTGAAACATTGCCAGCCTCAGACACCTACTGCACAGCTGCTGCTTCCACCTCCTGTCAGCTTTCTCCATGATGCCTCTGAACTTGTACAGTGGCTTTTTCCTCAGCAGAACTCATTTTTATCCTTTCTCAGAGAGAAGTATTGGTTCTCTAGCTCATACGCAAGCACACAGTGCTTTTCAAGAGAAATGAAACTTCCAGCTACAACTCATAGCTCTCCAGGTTAAAGCCACTGCAAAATTTAGAATGCTACTGTACTACAAGATATACTTAGATTCAAAATGTACTACTTTGAGCTTTTGTCTTTCAAGTGACTATCCAATCTATTACTGGCATCTACTAGAACTGTTTAGTGTGCCAGAGTTTTGTTTTGCGGGGTTTTTTGTTTGTTTTGTCACAGGTGCTTTCACAGAACCTCTACTCATTTGCAATAATTATCCCAAAAATCCTTTCCACAGATAATTTGTAGGGATGAGAGAAACCTGAGGGACTATTTTTGCAGTGGTTGTTTTTCTGTTTGTTTGTTTCAGTTTAAAAAGTCATGAGGGTGTCCCCATACAAAGAGAGAAAAAAAAAAAAAAAAAAAAAAGCATTGAACTTCAAATACCACAGCTAAAGCTTACTTCAGTAAGGAAAGTCTTCACCATTTTCTTAGTGCTTCACTGATTCAGTTGCCTGGGGGCTATACCAGAAAAACTGAAATTAACAGAAGCAGTATGGGCAACAAGCAAGAGTGCACATACTTCTGCTGTCCTTTGCCCATTTTAGCTGCAGATCACAAGCATTCCTCTCAAATGAGGTGTACATTTCTCTTTTATCAGTGAAAATGTTTTATATGGGAAATAGCGATCAGACTCCAAATGAGGTGACTCATACACTGATAATGAATCTCTTTCTTTCATGTAATATCTTCCATTTTGCACCTTAGCAACCTAAGGCTTTCAAGACGGCAATGATTCAGGAATCATTTAGCTCAGAGGGAAAGATGTAAGCAGTTAGAAGCAGTGGAAGTGCTGAATACAGTCTTCCAGAAACCACAGAGACATGGGCATGCTGAAGGCATATTTCCTTGAGGGCTGGTACTGCTCTTACTTCTCCACATCCCAGATATTTTGCTGTTGTCACTGTTTCTAGCTGAGGAAAATGGCTAGAACTTGACCTGTGATAATAACCCAATTCTGGAAAGCACTTATACACATGATTAAATGTGATATTGGTGCATTTTGAATCCGCTCCTATTCAAGAAAGCAGCTAAGCATGAGTTTAACTTGAACATTCATTTAAGAACATCCAGCAGTTGTGGGCTTAACCTACAAGCCTACAGTCAAAGTTTCAGAAACCTGCTGCATACATTATCCTACAGAAGAATCAACTAGCTCTCAGTAGCTCAGCCAGTGCTGAGACAAAGTGCAGTTCTGCACAGATTTGGTAGAATTATATCTGAGAAGTCTTGAAAAGCTATTAGAATGGGTTGTAGCCTCAAGGTTGAGGGCATAGCATTGAAGACTGTGCTTTGAATCAGGTAAAGCAAGTATTTAAGCTCATATGCGATATGAAAATCCTGATCATTGAGCTCACTGCTACTCCGCACCTGAAAAGCACCTCAGTTTTTTTCCTCCAGAGCTCCACTTAATATAGTTAAATACCTATTGGTTTCGAGAGAGAGAATTCATAATGTGGTGTGGCACTGTACAAGTTAGAATAATTGGCAAGCCATTAGAAACTACAGAACTTGAGAAGCCATTTCCTTATGTACATAACATGAATTAGCAGTGCTGGAATGTTGAAATGGCCAATCTGTGAGTTAAAGACTCCATCACTTGCACAGAGGTTGGCCACATCTTCACACTCCCATATCCCCCTTTCTCAGTCACGCACATGACCCAGTAGCACTACTGCACGCAATAAGCACAGCTTTCTTCATCTCCAATATGAAACTTTTAAGAAAAAAGTGGCTGCTACAGAGAAAGAAGTGACAGCCACATCAGTAGCAGGTGTCACTGCCACTACTCTAAGCTGCACCTTCCTCAAATTAGAGGAGGATAAAGGTGCAGTAGTTGTTATGTATCAGGGAGGAAGTCAGTATAACAGCTCAGACACTGAGCTTCTTGTGAAATAGGATTAGTGCTAATGGATGAAGCAGTCTCTTGTCTGTGTAAAAATTAGAGATGACCCTCCAAAAACTCTGGCCAGAATTACATTAACCAGCAATTGCAGATATAAATAGCTACCAGAATAAAATCATATTTTCCTACCATGCAGAGTACTTAAAACTAGAGTTGTTTAGTTTGCATTTGTACCCTCCCATTTGCTCTGTGAAACACTGATCAACTCTCCCTCCTTCAAGGTTTGTGTCCACAAGACAAGGTGGACACATCCATTCCAAAAGGCAGCAGATGCTACTGAAGCACTGCAGTGCTACTGCCTTACAGTGATCTCCCGTCTTAACTGACTGTGCTCACCCCATATCCACCAAATAACTCCCAGATTTCTTGCCAGTCCTCATTATGCCACATTCTTGCATATGCTAGAGCATCCTGTGTAGGAAGTGAATTTTTTTTTTTAATTTGGTTAAAAACTACTTTCTTCCAGACTAGAAACCTTTTGCCTTTGCTGTAACATATCTTGTGTTTACAGAACTAATCAACTGATCTCTTATGAAATTCAGTGTTATTTTTGGCTCCCTCTTTTCTGAGAGCATCTTCCTGTCTTCTCTCATTTTTATTTCTTGATACGTTTGTTTACCCTCATACCTGAAAACAAGGAAGTATCCTGAGAAAAGACATATTCTATCAGATCTCACACTCTTCCAGAACCAAATACACCATATTTGGCAGAACCATAATGCTCACCTTAGCTGTCCTATGCAGTAAGAGAGCAAGTTGATATTTACTGCTACACCTGACTGAATAATTCTGTTTTCTCTCTATCAAAGAGGTAAAAAAGTGTTTTACTG